GAATTCAGTTGGTGGAGATTCTGGATGTTCTGGTAATCATTTCAACTCAAAGTTCAGGTGAGTCTTGTTGTGGCAAAGAATTTGGTGTATTATACTTGACCCCCATCCTTCAGTCAGATTAAAATTTTCATTTTTTTAATCTAACTCTTTTATGTTTTGTGACCTTAAATGTCATTGCTTGACAGGCTGGAAAATGGTACTCGTGGTGTCCTATTGCACCATTTGTAAGTTATTTCCTGATTAAAGTTAGTGAAGGGAGGCCTTGTAGTTGGGCTAAAATGTAAGAACACAGACCTTGGAATGTTTGTATCTCAATACCTACTCAAATACAGGACTGCGAATGGACTGCCCTCAGTAAATTTTGCAATTGCAGCAGAAGAAACTGATTTGGTTCATGTCTCTGAGTGCCCTTCCTTTGTGATATCTGGGGAGTCGCAAGGCATTACTGCAAAAGACATGTGGAGTGAAATAAAAGAGGTCTGATTGCACTTTTATGTAATTCACCTGGATTTATTGGTTTATTTTTTAGGTTCCCTAAGACCAAAATTTTGATTCCTTAATTTGGACATTCAGGTCACAGGTCCTCATTATATATTTATTTCATATTATTTTAAATCTTCAGTTACATAACTTACATTGCAATAAACCAAGAGTAATCCTTGGAGTTAATTAATCCTTTATTGCATTATTGACTAGAATGCATACTGTATGTGGTTTTAAAGGGGTTTTTGAAGGGCACTTTTCATTACTTCTTACTGTTAGTTTTTATACATCAGAGTTCATGTTATCCTATTAAACGACACTAGACTGAATGTGATGTACAGTAATAAAAAATCAAAGTGCCCATCAGATGGATTTAATTGAGACAAGAATCATGAGATAAGAATGTTAAGATATAAAAATGAGAAGGCAATAAAGTATCAAATGAGAAATGACTTTATTTGAAAATATGTGGTGTATATTGAGGAAAATTGAGAGAAAATAAACTTAAGATGTTCTGTGCGTATCCAACAGCAGTCTATGGACTGAAAGAGTGATAATGGTTGTAATTTATTTGGTTTTAACCTATAATCAAAATAAACTTCATTTCTTTTTTCAGCTTTTCTTTTTTGTTATCATAGTAGTATTATTCTTGACAAACTTTCCACTGTTTTGTTTTGTTTATTTATTTATTTATTTTTCTGATAGTATGGATCCTTTGACCGCCTCAAGTCTGAAGAAATTTCTGCACCTTCTGAACCGGGGGCAGTGATTGGGGCTGCCATTGCTGCTTCTTTGACTATTCCAGCTGAGAAGGAGCATAATGTCACATTTGCATTGGCATGGGCTTGCCCAGAAATAAGTTTTCCAAGTGGGAGAACCTACCATAGGTAGGTAGTCAAATACATCCCTGATAAGTTGCTTGGTTCTTGCCCTTTTCTGAATAGTTTATTAAACACAGGCGCTATACTAAATTCTATGGTACTCTTGGTCGTGCCGCTGCAAATATTGCTCATGATGCTCTTCATGGTAATATGCTATACTAAATTCTTTGTTCTGTTTTTCTTGAACTAGGCTTGTGCTCTACCAAGGACACTTACTGGTTTTCACTTCTTCTCATTAGTTCAATTACCAAAATTCCTTTGACTTTGCTTTATCTATAACATTGTTTTGCAACTGAGTCTTTTAATGTTTCTTGATACAACACAGAGCATTCCCAGTGGGAATCACAAATAGAAGAATGGCAGAAACCAATTCTTGAGGACAAGAGGAATCCTGAATGGTGAGATTGTGTTTTCATTTGGAGATTCTATGCACGCTGATTTTATAGTTCTTGTGGTTTATTACAGGTATCCCATTACTCTGTTTAATGAACTCTATTACCTTATTTCGGGAGGAACAATTTGGACAGGTACTTGGAGGACAAATTTTTTACTTTAATGATGATGTTTAAGCCTGATTATTCATTAATTAAAAAATATAGTTATTGAACTTAACTTGCTCCATCTGTAGATGGCTCGCCACCGGTGCATAGTTTGTCAACCATTGGTGATAGAAAATTTTCCATTGATAGATCTAATTCAGATACTAAAAACACCGGTGAGCAATCCAACCCAAATGACACTGCTATTCTTATTCTTGAAAGGATGACATCAGTACCTCAGCAGATTCAAACTCCTCTAACGGCCAATGCTGCTTTTGGGACAAATCTTCTTCAAAAGGGAGAGGAAAATGTCGGCCAGTTCTTATATCTTGAAGGAAGTGAATATCTCATGTGCAACACATATGATGTTCATTTCTACGCATCGTTTGCCTTGGTCATGCTATTCCCCAAACTTGAACTTAGCATACAAAGAGACTATGCAGCTGCAGTCATGATGCATGATCCCGGTAAGATGGAACTTTTGCACGACGGAAAGTTGGCAATTAGAAAAGCCCTTGGGGCTGTACCCCATGATATTGGAATGAATGATCCATGGTTCGAAGTGAACTTTTATAATCTCCATAATACAGATAGGTGGAAAGATTTAAATTCAAAATTTGTTCTGCAAGCCTACAGGAATGTCGTTGCCACAGGTGACAAAAAGTTTGCAGAAGCTGTTTGGCCTTCTGTGTATATGGCAATTGCTTATATGGACCAGTTTGACAAAGATGGAGATGGGATGATAGAAAATGAAGGATTTCCTGATCAGACATACGATGTATGGTCTGTCTCTGGTGTGAGTGCATACTGTGGTGGACTATGGGTGGCAGCCTTGCAGGCTGCATCTGCATTAGCACGAGAAGTAGGCGACGAGGGTTCTGAAGACTACTTTTGGTTTAAATTCCAGAAAGCAAAGAAAGCATATCAGAAACTGTGGAATGGTTCTTACTTCAACTATGATGACTGTGGTGGCCGAGTGAGCTCATCCATTCAAGCTGATCAGTTGGCCGGACAATGGTATGCTTCAAACTTGTTGAAATTCATCATATATCAATGCATTTAGTGAAACAAAACTATGTTTGATGGGTAAGCTATGAATATCTTAATTTTTTCGTATAAAACAATTAATTCTAATCCCATATTTTGTCACCATGATGGATGTCTCCTTCCACACTAGAATCACAATTCCTTTTGTGATTCTCTTTCATCTTTATTTTGTAGGTATGCTCGAGCATGTGGCCTTGAACCTATTGTTGATGAACAACAAGCTAGAACTACCCTTCAAACCATTTTTAAGTTCAACGTTGTAAATGTCAAGGATGGGAGACGCGGAGCAGTGAATGGGATGCAGCCGAATGGTGAAGTTGACCTGTCTTGCATGCAGGCAAGAGAGGTATGGTCTGGCATTACATACGCTGTTGCTGCAGGCATGATTCACGAAGACATGGTTGATTTGGGGTTTAAAACTGCCAGTGGAGTCTATGAGACTGTATGGTCTGAAAAAGGTTTCGGGTAAGTAAACACAACACTCTTTTACTCATTTACATCATCAAGCTGATATTATATAACCCTGTTTGGTTAGTAGGTAATGTGAGTACGGTAATATTATATAACTCTGTTTGGTTCAAGTTATGTTATTATCTCTTCAGAGGCGATCTCACATCAGAGTTATTTCTCAGCCGATATTGAGCTCTGATTGTTTCTCCCTGTGTAGCTACGCTTTCCAGACACCAGAAGGGTGGACGACAGAGGGGCGATACAGATCTCTAGCGTACATGCGGCCGTTGGCAATCTGGGCAATGCAATGGGCGTTAACGCAGCCAAAGCCAGCTTCGAAGCAAGAAGTGAAGCCAGAAATCACAGAAGCTTGTGTGCATAAGCAACATTCTGGGTTTCTAAGAGTTGCTCGGCTTCTCAAGCTGCCAGACGAGAGAGATACTAGAGGCGTGTTTCAGGTCCTCTTCGATTACACTTGTAAAAGAATGGTAACATGAAAATGACAGATGGATCTCAACTAGTTAACTCCCCAATTGTATATGGCCATTATTTTGCCATTGAATTGAAGTTGTTTTGTTCATCTTGTATAATGCTATATTGATTTGCTTGGTAATATAACTTGCATTTTCTTTTTTTCATTCATTCTCACGCTCCCTTTTTTCTTTTCCTTTTTGTTTTATTATTATTCCGTGATAGACTCTATCATAATCATGATCTAGCATCCCATAATGAAGGAACAATATTGTTGTGAATCTCTTTCGTCTCAATAGAGGTCTCACTTAAATTTTCGTTGATAGAAATATTATTACTTAAATCTTGAAGTCCATTGGGGCGGTATATAATCTGGATAATGTTCAAGCACATTAAACATCATGCTATCTTGCGAATTATTCCAAATAAACATTATAGAACTCATATAATTATATAGAATTTTAAGGAAGACTTTAAAGCTATAATCACAGTCGTAGATCTCCACCCTAGATTGAGGGGGTGGAATAAGTATAAATAATCTCATGGGGCTGACTTTGTAACAATCCAAGGGGTCCCAATTGTTGGAATGAAAATGAAGGGGAATGCTTGGTAGTGAAGGAGTTGGAACAATGATGAATATAAAAATAAAAATAAGAAGACAGAAAAAACTAAAAGAATTTTAATTGGGTGGGTAAAATATGTCATTTATTTAAAACAATAAGAATATAGATGAAAAAAAAAATTTAGAAACTACTAATTTATTTTTGAAACTTTACTTAGAATATTATTTTAAAATAAGTTATTGTTTTAAACTATTAGCTTGTTTTTGAAACATTATCAAATAAAATTTTGATAACTTAAAATAAATTATAAGTACCTAAATAAGTTCTGCTAAATAGAGCATTTATTATTACTTAAAAATATATATTTTTTAATGAATAAAAGAAAAAAAAATTAACAAATTATAGTACCATGTAACTGAAGGGGTTGTTTTCAAAAAAAAATGTAACTGAAGGGGTGCAATGACTAATACACCCTTGTAGAAAAGGGTAAATCACCCGAACCCCGTTCTATAAATGTAAATTCTCTCTAAGTAGGCAGTTACCCGTGCATTCATTCCACAGGTTTTGCTTCAACAGAAATCATAACCATACATTCCCAGAAGTCTTTGGAGGACCAACCACCTTTTCACAGACTGAAGAAATTCTCCTTTAAAAACTTGTCATTCCCATACTTCCCAACAGAGAAAGAAGACAGGAAGACACAATATCATCTTCTGCACGTTCTTGAACAAGAAGTGTTCAATTTTCAGAGCGGTTTTCCTTTCTGGGAAACCGCTCTTTTAACTGTTCTTTTCTTTCAACCTGTTTGTATTTCAGTGTAGTGCAGAATTCATTTGCCACCCCCAAGGATCTCCACAGGCATGTGTATGGTGAGGAATTCAATAAAGTCTCCATTTTTTTTTTATTTTTTTGATGTTGAAATTACTGCTGGAAATTATGAAATTTCCGACCACCTGAAAGTGATCGGAAATAGCAACAAAGGTTTTACCGAGATCATTTTCAGGTGGTCGGAAAGTTCATAATTTTCAGCAGTGAATCTTGAAAAGTTGAGATTAATTACTTTACTTGTCCATTATGCAGGTTTAAGGGGGTGAAAGAAAAGTTGGGTTCTGTATGCATGGTAGACACTGAGGAAACTCAAGTTTTGGATTGGGGATTAACGCCCGAATCGAGATTTTGATCAGCCTGCTGTGTGTGCAGAGGTTAATTAGTTAACAAGCCAAGAAGGAGAAATGTCAGGAGGGTACTACTCCAAGTGCTCTTGTTCTAGGCCTGTTGAGTGGGTGAAGGGGAAAACGGTTGGATCGGGGTCGTTTGGGAGTGTTCATTTGGCGATGAACAAGGCGACGGGGGGACTTTTTGTTGTGAAATCTGCAGAATCAGATTCTGGGCTGCAGTTCCTTGAGAGTGAGGCTGAGATTCTTGAGAGTTTGGATTCTCCCCATGTGGTGAAGTGCATAGGGAAGGAGATGTGTGGTGGGAAGAAACTCAATCTTTTCATTGAGTACATGGCAGGTGGGAGTTTAGCAGATGTGACTCAACAATTCGGTGGGAAGTTGGATGAAATGGTGATCAGATTGTACACTAGAGAGATTCTTTTAGGCCTAAAATACCTCCATGAAAATGGGATTGTCCATTCTGATCTCAAATGCAGAAATGTTCTCTTGAGCTCCTCAGGGGATGTGAAATTGGCAGATTTTGGCTGCTCCAAGAGAGTAAAAAAACACCCAAACCCAATCCCCCTTGCAGGGGTTGCCGGGAGTCCATTATGGATGGCACCCGAGACTTTAAGGAATCAAGGCGGCCTGGATTGTGCCTCGGATATATGGTCACTCGGGTGCACAATCATAGAAATGGCAACTGGGAATCTCCCCTGGGCAGGCAAGATCTCAAACCCAGTTTCTGCAGTTCTCAGGATTGCCTGTAGCGAAGACAGGCCAAACTTCCCCTCCCATTTCTCCCAAGAAGGTTTGGATTTCTTGGAAAAATGCCTGGAAAGAGACCCCAGAAAGAGGTGGAAAGCTGAGGAATTGCTTCACCATCCCTTCGTGAATCCAGAAAGCGAGGAATTCGCTGCTTCTTCCCCAGCAAGTGTTCTTGACAGAAGTATCTTCCCAGAAACCGATTACTCAGACGAATCAGATGAAGAAGACGAGACACCCCTTAGAAGCCCGGTTCCAAAACCAACTACCAATAGGTTCTTTCCATTTTCAATACTATGTGAGAACAAGTTTGGTGTCTCAGAACAGCATCCTAGGTTTGGAGAGCATTGGTCTACATCTGAAGAGTGGATCACTGTGAGAACAAGTTAAGGAAAAAAAAAAAAACAAGAAGTTTTGTGAGACCAGACAAGTCTTAGGTTTGTGTCTGTTTAGTTGTACAGAGAAACAGACATGAGTAGATAGTTATGAAAATGTATGGAGGATCAAATTGTACACTACACTGTCATTTATCTGTAGCTCTAGCGCATCAGCTTTTGTGGATGTATTGTTCCCAAGTCACTGCAGTCACTGCATTATAGACAATTCTTTACTCTTTATTCCTTGTTTTTGCCATACTATACTAGTCTTTTCTGTTAGCAATATTGTTATTCATATTATTATTCCTGACTAGTCGTTGTATTAGGTTAGTTGTTTATGGCTTTCCTAATAGATAGGATTAGTTTACGCTACTGTATAGTCTATAGTTTGTAATCTCTATTCTATTGGAATTGAAACAGTGATCGTTTATCTCATCTTTTCTTCATATTAGCTTTGTATTTGTTAAACGATTGTAAATATTGAAATTTTAAGTGGGTTGATTTGTCAATTGTTATATCGTGCACAAATCCTGTACATAATTGTAATAGAATACACATAAACTCCTAACATAATACACATAATTTAACATAATACATAATACGCATAAACCCTAACTGACGCGCAATGCATTGTGCATTCTGGTGCACGATAAATGGTTCAATAAATATTTAATAGGTCTAATTACTTAATTAATAGCACACAAACCACGCACTTAAGTGAGTAGTTTTCATTCTTAGGTGCGTGGTTTGTGTGCTTAAGGTGCATCTGTTGAAATTTAAGAAGCGTCGGCCTAAAGCTCTTTAGGTGCGTGGTTGCACTTAGGTGCGTAGTTTTCATTCTTAAGTGTGTGGTTTGTGTGCTTAAGATGCATCAGTTGTTGAAATTTAAGAAGCATCGGCCTAAAGCTTTAAGTGCGTGATTTTCCTTCTTAAGATGCATGATTTGTATACTAAGGTGTGTAGTTTGTGTGCTTAAGATGCATGTTTAGCTTTACAAGGTAGACTTCACCCAAAACACATCTTCGGATAGCAGAGATAAACTAACAAAGATAAAACCTGTAAACTGTAAAGGCAACATGAAATGCATGAACTATATATAGCAGGCTGAGAAAAACACAACTTTTAACATTATATATACAAAAGCCATCTGTATCATGACATGGTTTTATACAAAATGGCTAAAGGAAAAATGACAAGGGAAAAAGGATGAAGAATAGTCTCTGTTCATCTCCCCATTAGAGGCGGCCGGTACTACTGCACAACAAACCTTTTTCATCAATCTATTCTCTAAGGTTTTCAAACAAGCAACCATTACAAGATTTCCCGTCAGATCAGACAAAATCATAAAAATAAGATAATAATGCCGCTAGATAATACTAAGATCTTAACCGTTATCCACTCAGTATGGAACCCCATCCTACCTTGAAACGCTTTGCTGCACTTTTGTCCCGCCACCATACTTTAGACCATGCCTGGCAACTAAATGCACTTGGCCATTCAAAAGCATGGGTTATGCGTCGGGCATGCCCTCACTTGTAGCCAAAAACAAAATCACCAAGGATACTGAAATCCGAAGTCCATTCCACCCCCCCCCCCCCAATCCTCATTATTATTTTTTCTCCCCTGGCCATTATGGGTACATAGGTAACTGGGCCCACGTCTTACACCAGTTCCTCGGTGCCAACAGAAGAATCTGATACTGGTTTGCTCGACTTAACTTCATTGACGGGAAGCTTTATCTTGGGAGAGAGCATCTTTGCTTCTTCGATTGTGTAGATATTGATCTTTCTGACCATGCTGCAAAATTCACTGTACGTATTCCGTGGAATAACAATTGGGATCAGCAAGATAGTGAATGAAACGTAATTATTCTCATCTAGACAAAATATGTGAATGGTTAAATAGGCAAACACAGTTGATCTCTCATGCTGGAGTTAAATGAACAAGTGCATATAGAGAGAAAGAAAAGACTCAACTGCCAAGGATCATCTCCGACCATCATCACATCATCCTCATCGTCTGTGTAGACAACTTGCCATTTCTTGATTGATCCACACAGTTCACCTTCAATCTCAAACATCTCTTCAAATTTCCTCAGCAGATCTTCATACCCCTCGAACCGTGTAAGATCTACTGCTCTCCCAACTGCCTTCCCTTGCATGTGAACCTAAGCAAATCATCCAGAAACTTCTATTAAATCACCTTCAGGGAGATTCTAGAACAGAAATTATATACTCTTGTGTAGATTTGAGGATTACAAGTGCCATTTCAGCAAAAAACAGCAAACATCAATCCTTCAAGTATCAGGTTGATTAAACAAAAATAGTGACTTAAGTACCTTGGTGCAGCTCCTAATTTGCTTGCTTTGTGACTCAACGGGAGATCTCAGTGACGATTTTTCGTGCTCAAAGCTTACTTCAGGAACTTCGGATCTAGAGGGGTTTGATGGTTCAGAGTGCTGGTCAGATTCAGAATCTAAACATAGAACAGGGCAATCTTCTACCATAGTTTGAGGTCGAGTAAGAGAAGTATCTCTAACAGTCGAATGGTCCATCAACTGAATTCCAAACAGCCTGTAGCCATTAGCTTGTTTCTTTTCACTAACCGGTGCAGTAGAGTCTGTTTCAGGTTGATTAGAACAACACATTGATCTACTGGAAACAGGAGGCAAGGAACCATTCTCGCTGTAAGCCAGGTTGTTAACCATTGAACCAGAAGAGAGTTTAGGTGATGGGAAGAGATCTGTCCCACGGGATGTATCACAGTATGAGAACAATTGGGGAGAATCAACAGGCGATTTCCATGTGCCTGTACATTGCAGAACGAGAGTTAGACAAGACATAAAATCATACAGAACTAGAGGGCACTAGAAGAGAAGTCTTCGTAGTTCATACCTAGCGCAGAAAATTCAGATACCGACGGAGGTAAATTTGCTGGGCGTGCGCGCTTGTTCCTTTGTGGAGGCTGGAGCGTTTGAGGTGTCGAAGTGACAAGTGCTTCTATCTCCCATGGTGAAACCCTATCAGGACGCACGATTGAAGATGGTTCATCCCATTGAACCTGAACAAATAAATAACAATATTGCACAAATACTAAGCAAAACACCATTACAGAAATTACATGTCCTGCGTCAATTTGTCCGCTATGATAGGCATAGCTTTGTAAGAGTCGAGGAAATGAAAAGACAGATCTTGTATATTTCTAGAATCATCAGTTTACAGTTAAGCTAACTCAAATAATCATGAATGATTTCACAAGTGTGATGAGTGATAACCTTCAGAGATCTCCATTTAGAATCAGGCCATCTAGATGATGTATTATCTTCAACACCAACAATGGTCCCACTGAATCTGTACAATTATTTAGATCAAAAAGGTAAAATATTATCCTAATCTAAAGCAAATTTCAGATGAACAATATCAATACCATAGATATAGGAAACTAGGAAAAATTTAGTCAATACCTTCTTTCTGGAACTTCCTCACCCTCAAACCTCATTTTAAACCTCATCCCAACTGAGAGCTTGTGATTTTGAGCTTCAATATATTTATTCACACTCACAATGAACTCGGACCGACTTGTCCTGGAAAAAAAATCATCATATATAAGGTCAACAAATAAGAGTATAAGACAATAAGAACCCAGTAGAAAAAGGTTATAAGGAAAAAAAATGTGAGATAAATAGATACTTTTCCATACAAAAGTTTCACTAGTATTTAATGCTTATTTGAAATATAGGTGTGCTATGATCCACTACTATTCTTGCAACCCTTGAAATGCTCCACAAGATAATATCCCAAATCACAAAACACCCATCCCCTCCAGTCACATAAAAGGAATCACTTCAATGGCAGAAGATTTATAACAAGCTCTAGAAATAACAATTAATTTTATTGAGAATGAAATTGCATGGCCTATAAGTAAAGCATTGATGGTTTCACTGTAAAAGCACAAAATTATCCTATGAAATGCAAAAGAAAAAGAGCAAACCTTGGCCTGTAAAAAACAGAGAAAAGAGTCCCTGTATTGATGGCATGCGATGCAGTAGCAAGAACTCCCAGATGCATACTGTGACTTGATATAACAGAAGATGGCATATTGTTCAGCTGTCTCATTAGCCTTCTGACACCAACTCGAAGCTCCCCATTTTCTCCCCTGCATACAAGTTATAGATTATGCAAAGAGTTAGAAGATGTGATAGGAAGTGAGAATGTAAGGGCAAAGAATTGGACATTTTCAGAAAATAACAATTAGACAATACAAAAAACCTGAGGAAGATGAAAGCATCTCCAGCAACCAATTTCTTCGCACTAACAAAAACACTCCACCCTGTTGTGAGCAAGTGGCGCCTAGGTTGACCTGAAATGAGGCACATTCCAAAATAATTTATATACTAGGGAAAAGTAGAGTCATAATGCAGCGTAATGATAAAAAGGGATTGAAGGAGAGAGTAGAAAATTGCTGAATGGAATCCCTAACCTCGAAAAATGTGGCGAAAATGCCATTCATTGGCATGAAGATCCGTAGAAACCAATTCCTGCCACGGTGGCTGTTGAGACATATCCTGCACATCAAACATAATTTAAAACCACCATGAGAAGAATGCTTAAAAGTAGGAGCTTACAGAAATCAAGAGGTAAATTACACAATAAGTATTGGTTAGGTTACCAGTGGGGGCAAACACTCATCTGCATGCCGCCGAAGAACAGAGAATCCACCATGGGTGCTTGTATCAGATGCAGTGAGTGTCTTGCAAAATGAATGGACATTACATTGTTCTGGTTCAGGGAGAGGAGGATCAGGGCTTGTGATCTCACTTTGCTGTGGCCAGAGAAGAGAATAAAGGAAAACATCATACTAAGGAAACGTTGTGACAGAAGACAAAATAAGCTCAAAGAATATTAAGCATTTCAAGTAATAAGGGAGTGAAAGTGAAACTCACCTCTGGTTCAGGAAGCAGAGTTATTTGAGCATACACCTCATCTGTCTCAGGTTCAGCCTACCCAATGACATGTACTCGATGTTATTTGGACTTCAGGTGACAGTTGTCAGTAAGTACTAGGTAGTGTCAATAAACTTACCCGAAGAAAAACATTCATAACTTTGCACAGAATCTTAGCTGGCAAGTCAAATGAAGGAAGCTGCTGATCCAATCCCTGATGAGTGGATGCTTCAAGCTACAACAGAGTGAAAAAAGGAGAGAGAAAAGCAATGAGCTCCAGATTCTTCTGTTGTTAGTGATAT